CTTCTATCTATCCTATCTATATGTACATATCAATCTGTTTATCTATCCACCTATCTCCCACCTATCTCATCTATCTATCCTATCTATATCTACATATCTGTCTGTCTATATCCATCTACATCCATCCATCCACCTATCCATCCTCTTGTGTTTCTGTCCAAAAATTCCCCCCCCCCCCCCCCCACCCCCCCCCCCCAACAAACCCACCCCCCCCCCCCCCGCGGAATTTTTCCCCCCCCCGCCTGGGGTAAGGGGGGGGGTCCCGCCGGGACCCCCGGGGGGGACGGGTGGGGGGGGGGGGTTTTCCGGGGGGTGGGGCGGGGGGGGGGGGGAACCCCTTGCCACCTGCCCGGCGTCGTCAACCCGTGTCTAAAACGCTGCTTTCTCAGCTGCTCCTGCGGTCGGCATTTCAACAACGCGGCTGTTTTTTTTCCGCTCCCTTCCGATGAGCAGCTGCACCGGACACCCGATCACGGGGAGGTGTGAGGCTGGCCGCGCGCGTGTGCGTCAAGCCAGCAATGTGGGTTTGGAGGGGGAAAAACAAGGATCTATTTTGGAAGGAAAAAAAAAAAAATCTGTCGAAACATACACGAATGGAAAGTCAGTTTTTTAAAGTTTGTCTCCAAAATAATGGCTATTTTTTTGTGTGGGGTGGCTAGGAAACTTACCCCACTGCAACCGTCATAAAAGTGACCCAGTTCCCAAACACCCGAATTTGGATCCCGTCGCCACAGGAAGGGTGCACCGGTCGTAAGGGTGAAAAACGGTCATAAGTGCATTCCCCCCCCCCCCGGGCTGTTGTTACTTCTCTCCACTTTGCTTCCACACACAAAAATATTCCTGTTCTAAAATCGTGACCGTTTGTTTGGGTCCGTCTATTAAATAAATCATTTTTTTTTCAAAAAAAAAAAAATCAAGTTATAATTAATGTGGTTAGATACAGATGAACAAGAGTTGGAAGGGACCTTGTAGGTCATCTAGTCCAACCCCCTGCTCAAGCAGGAGACCCCCAGACCATTTCAATCAATCGGAATAGAACTGGAAGGGACCTTGTAGGTCATCTAGTCCAACCCCCTCCCGCCCAACAGGACGCCCTACACACCATTTCTGACAGATGGCAGGCCAGTCTCTTATGGAAAGCGATCCTGGCTGAATAAAAACAAAACAAAAATAAAGACAAATTGTAAAAGTCAAATGGAGGTATGCCCAAAATATATTTAAAAAACAAAACAAAACACCAAGGTTAATTAATGTGGCAGCAATCCTGGCTGAATAAAAAGTAAAAATAAAGAAAAATTCTAAGAGTCAAATGGAGGTAGGACCAGGAAGGAAAAAAATTCTCTAGGAAATTTCTCTGCCTCCTCCATTGCATCCTCAAAATTAAATCTTGCCTTCTTTTAACAGCTTCGTATCACCGTCTGGTCCCTGTGTACAAAATCGGTCTCGTACATCAAATACCCCAAAGCTTGTCAGCAGGGTGAGTGAAGTGAATTAAATTCAGATATATATCCAACCCTCCCCTGAACAGGTAGACCCCCAATTGGAGACAAAACTGCCGTTAAGAAAATGTGTTTTTTAAACCAGTCCCATCCAGTTTTGCAACCTGTGTGTCAACTCATATAAATATTTCTAGGGTCGTTTTAGAGTGGCCAACAGAAAGGGGGGGAGGGGGGAGCAGTGCGGCAGCTTGGAAATCGAAGCTGCATTCCATAAATGTTTTCAGAGATAGTAACTAGGCGACTGAAGTTTCTGCCCCGCAAAATCCTAATTGGAGAACATGATTGATGACTCTGGGCTATGGATGGGTCTCATTGGAGAATATGATTGATGACACATGCAGGGGTGTCGGGGGGGAAAACCAGGGTCAAGAGTGATGATTAATTATACGTCTCAGAGTCGGCTCCACCCAGGGAGTGCCGGACATGTTAACTCCCAATAAATCCTTTTGAAGTTTTTGGAAGTTTGGCTCGAGACTCATGATTTCATTGGTGGGGGGGAACTGCTGAGCAAAACTTCGCACTGGTGACAGGAAAGGCATCCAGCCATTCAACACTCAGCTCCATTCAGTTGCCCAGACTTGATTAGGAGGGTCGTTAAAAGATGATGATGATTTTATTTTTATTATTCTTATTTTGCAGGCCTGGCTTTCACAAAAGATGGGCGCTACCTGGCCCTGGTCGAGCGGAGGGACTGCAAAGATTACGTGAGCCTCTTTGTCTGCAGCGACTGGCAGCTTTTAAGGGTAGGAAATCCCATTTTCCCGGGCTTCCTCTTGGATGATGCTTTGTGGGATTCCCGGCCTGCTTGGGGGTTTCTCCTTGTTCGATGTTTTTCCTCTGGGCTGGGAGGTTGGTTGAGTTGAGCAAAGGGCCCTGGTCCCGTCTCACCTGAGGTGCTTTTGTACCAGGTGAGGTTTTCAACCTGCGTCTTCTTAGTCCCGGCCTGGTTTTCCTTATTTCCCTGTCTTTTCCGTCCCAAGCATTTTGAAATCGACACCCAGGACGCTGCGGGAATCGACTGGGCCCCAAATGGCTGCGTGTTGGCCGTGTGGGACAGCTGCCTTGAGGTGAGCAACATCCAGTCTCTTAAAAAGCCTCCAGGGATGGATCACCCACAATTTCTGGTGGCAAGAGGTTAATTGTCTTTCCCTGTCAGGAAATTCCTCCTTAGTTCTAAGTTGCTTCTCTCCTGGATGAGTTTCCATCCGTTGCTTCTTGTCCTGCCTTCTCAGGTGCTTTGGAGAAGAGCTTGACCCACTTCTCTTCTTTGGGGCAGCCCCTCAAATATTGGGAAGATGCTATCATGTCACCCCAGTTCTTTTCTCTAGACTGGCCTGACCCAATTCCTGCAGCCGTTCTTTGTATGCCTTCGTCTCCAGGCCTTTAAGCATCTCGGTTGCTTATCTTAGTTTATCATCTTAGCTTAGACGGTTGGTTGGATAGAAAAGCAAAACAAAAGAAAGAAAAGAAAATAGAATAAAATGGAATGGAACAGAAGTTGAACAGAACAGAAAGCAGGAAAAAAATAGAATGGAGAATGGAATAGAATATGGAATAGAATAGAAATCAGAATAGAATAGAATTAGAATTACAATAGAATAGAATAGAATAGAATAAATTAATAATAGAATAGAATAAATGAATAATAGAATAGAGAGAATGGAATAGAAAAGAAATCAGAATAGAATAGAATAAATTAATAATAGAATAGAATAAATTAATAGAATAGAGAGAATGGAGAATGGAATAGAATATGGAATAGAATAGAGATCAGAATAAAATAGAATGAATGAAAAATAGAATAAATGAAGAACAGAATAGAAAACAGAGTTGGAAGGGGTCTTGGAGGTCTTCTAGTCCAACCCCGTTTAGGCAGGAAACCCTACCTACACCATTGCCGACAAATGGCTGCCATTCTTCTTTTTCTCAGTACAAAGTGCTGCTTTTCTCTCTCGATGGCCGTCTCCTCTCGACCTACAGCGCTTATGAATGGTCGTTGGGCGTGAAATCTCTCACTTGGAGCCCCAGCAGTCAGTTCTTGGCCATCGGCAGCTACGATGGGAAGGTGAGCTTGGCCAAACCTGGTTTCCCCCCCCCCCCGGAACCCCTCCCCTTCCAAATTTCCCGTTGCGCAGCTGATGACCATGCAGGGTTCGAGAGGTATCCAAAATGCTAGGCCGCATTTAATCGATTTCTTCACCTTTTTGTGTGTGTGTGTTTTTACCTACGGGTTAGATTTTCCCCTTCAGTCATTGATTGACAAGTCAGAAATGTTGATGCTGTCAACTCATTAAGCCCGCTTTAGAGTTGCCATGAATAAAATGGGTGGGGGGGGTGGGGGGGTGGGGGAAAGGAATTTGAAAGAGAAGTGCAACAGTTTGGAACCGAAAGTGCATTCCATTCATATCTTGCAAAGATGATAACTAAGCGACTGGAATTTCTGCCTCCGCAAATCTCTTAATTGGAGAATGTGATTGTGATGACCCAGGGTGGGATACAAAACAAACACAGTCACAAAAGAAAACAGGTGAAGCCCCTTTTATTCCTTCACTTTGCTCCCGAGCTCCAAATATCCTTGACGGGAGACAAAAAAACAGTTACAAGAAGGAGGAAATGCCGTTTAAATTACAAAAGAGTAAAAAACAACACAAACCAGGCAAGATCCACAGATATCGGAACACACACTTGGGGAGGACGCCAAACTCAAGAGAGGAACCATAAACCAGAGATATTTCCACGCTTCGTTTCCAGCACTGGCCCATACGCAGGTCCATCCTCTTAGCCAGTTGTCACAGCTGCAGCCCAGCAAGGGGATCAAGGCCCTTTCCTCCCCCGTAGACCATGTTTCTCCCTTATCCATTCCTCCCTGTGTGCCCTAGGATGGAGAGGGGATGGGCCTGGGTCCTCCTCTGTCTGCCCAGCCGGCCTCTGCCCTTCCCCAGCCTCCTCCACAACCTCTGGAGCCACACTTCCACTCCCTGTCGGCTGTTCCTCCTCTCCCTCGGAGTCAGTCTCCACCAGGGGCATGACAGTGATTGATGACTCTTGGCTATGAATGTGTTTCGTTGGAGAATTATGATGCACCCAGAGGGGTGGAGGGAAAACCAGGGTCATGGATTTATTTTAATTTAAATTAAGCAGGGACCCGTGATTTAATTAGGGCAACTAATGCCGGAATCCTGAGCCTTTTTCCTTTTAACTAGGTACGGATCTTAAACCACGTGACCTGGGCGAAGATCGCTGAATTCGACCATCCGGTCAACGTTGCTGATCCCAAAACGGTAAGCGTCGTGATTTCGTTCGGGGGCGGGGCGGGGAGGGGGAGGCAGTATGGGTAAGTCCTCGACTTAACGACTGCAAGGGAGCCCAGGATTTAAACGTTACTAAGGGAGACGTTTGTTTTGTCCCCTTTTGTGCTGAGCTTTCTTGCCGCCGTTAAGTGAATCTTGGCATCCCCATGGAAGCCCTCACCACCGCCACCCCGGGGACACTGCGACCGTCATAAATGCGAGTCAGTAGGCAAGCACCCGTATGTAACTCAAGTGACAATGGGGATGCTGCTGCAAGGGTCATAAGTGTGGGAAACGATCATGAGTCACGCTCTTCAGTGCCGTCGTAATTTCGAACGGTCACTAAACGGACTGTTGTAAATCGAGGACTACCTATATTAGGCAGGTGATCAGGTGAATGGGAGGAAGAAGACAGAACAATGAACCAGTGGAATGGCTTGCCACCAGAAGTTGTGGCTGCTCCATCACTGGAGGTTTTCAAGAAGAGACTGGGCAGCCATTTGTCTTTTGCTTGTGCAGGGGGTTGGACTAGATGACCTCCGAGACCCCTCCCAGCTCTATTCGGATTGATGGATGGATTGAAATGGTCTAGGGTCTCCTGCTTGAGCAGGGGCTGGACTTGAAGACCTCCAAGGCCCCTTCCAGCTGTGTCATTCTGTAAGATCCATGTCGGTTCACGTTGTGTTTTTGGGAATGACCCCAGCCCAATCTGACTTCCTTTCTAGGTGGTCTACAAGGAAGTCGAGAAGACCCCAGCCGTGGACTTGGAGAAGTTGACTTTCCCCCCAAGCAAGAGAATGGCCAACGCACTCTTCAGCCGAAAGACCAAATGTATGTTTCAGGTAGCGCTTGGGGAGTTAAGGTGGGTGGACTTCAACTCCCAGAATTCCCTCATCCCTCCGGGGAATTCTGGGAGTTGAAGTTCACACATCTTCCAAGTGGCTGAATTTGAAAAACACCGAATTCAGGAAGGAACAGACCAAAGAAATTGGAAAGGACTATTTATTTATTTAGTTTTCATGTATCTAGCTCTGGTTAAATCAAAGTTTGCATCTATAATGAAGGTTTCCACCTCGTCTTTTCCCCGTAACGACAACTCTGTGAGGTGGGATAGGCGGAGGAGGCGGGGCCCAGCCCAAAGTCACCCAGCTGGATTGCATGCTTAAAAGAAGGACTAGAACTCACAACCTCCTGGTGGCTAGTTCATGTCATGACCCTGTCAGAATCTGATTTGGAGTGGGAGGCCGAGCAGCTGACAGGGAATGGGAGTCTGGCTCCGTTGGGTGTGGAGGAAACTGGGGAAGGGCAAAGTCTGGCTGGGCAGAGAAGGGGAGAGATAGAACAAGGGAGAGGGAGTTTGGATGAAGACCCAAGGCCCACTCCCTCTTCATCCTAGGGCACGCAGGAAGGAATAGAGAAGGGAGCAACGTGGGTTGCATGGCTTGTGGGGGAGGAAAGGGCCCCGATTCCCTTCATTAGCTGCAGCTGGGAACAGTGTATAAAAGAGGAAGCTGCGCACAGCAAGTTGTTGGGAACAGGCTCAGTTGTCGTAAGTCAAGGACCAGCTGCAACAATCTGGTTTCCTGGTTTGTCTAGTGAAAAGGGGTTGAAAACAGCAGGGTCAGGAAGTAAACCTTGTTTTTTTTTTTGGTTTCAATTCCAAGATGAAGTTGTCCAAGCCCCCGTTCCTTTGCACCACGTCAAACCTCCCACAGACAGGGCCAATCCCAGGATCGGCGTTGCGACGTTAGCTTTCAGTTCGGACAACAGTTTCCTGGCTACGAAAAACGGTGAGTAGTTTGGAGGCAAGCTAAGTAAACCAACTTTCCCTTCGTGTCCCAACTGACGAAACGAGCCTTTGGGGACAAAGGAGAGTGAAAAATTTGAGCCTTCCTTCCCACCGTCTGCTGTGAGAGTTTTAAAAAGGTGAAAAATCAATGTATGTATGTATGTTATTTAGGTTTTAAACAAAAAACGGCTGCCACGCCTGACACGATTAAAAAGAATCCAATTCACAAGCCTGAGGATGGCAGCGACTTGTTCTGATCCAGGCTTCATAAACCGTAATGACACACACGCATATTTTAAAAACAAGTCTTATTTTATTCGCGTTCCTTGAAAGGCTCGGTGTGTGTTTTTAAACAGACAACCTCCCGAACACCGTCTGGATCTGGGACGTCCAGAAGATGAAACTTTACGGGGTCCTGGAGCATTTGGGCCCCGTTCAGGATTTCCACTGGGACCCCAAACAACCTCGGCTCGCTCTGTGTACTGGCAACACGAAAGTGTATCTCTGGTCGGCCGCGGGATGCGCCTCCGTGCAAATACCGATGGAAGGTAACAATACTAACAACCAGCTGGATGCCCGTGTTTCGCTACAAAATTACGTGGTCGGGCTTAAGTTTTTTGGGAGGACAATAAGGGGGAAATAAATTCTGCGTCTGCCTAGCAGCATCCGTCGGTATTCATCTGGCTAGCGTCCTGTCAGCGTGTGAGGGCTGTTATTATTTATTATTACTGTATTTTTCCCTCTGTTTCAAAGGATGTACCTGAAAGGCTGGAAATTATCACAAAAGAAAAAAAAGAAAGGATTAATTTTTTTAAAAAAAAATCGTTTGTGTACAGGTGACTTCAAGGTGACTTCGTTGTGCTGGCACCCCAGTGAAGACTCCCTGGTTCTTCTGAGCAAGGACAATTTCTGCCTGTGTTACTTAGAAAGAGAAGAAGCTACGAAACAACTGGACCCAAAACGAAGCTAAGGGAACAAAACAAACCGCCCATTGTTTTTAAAACTTCACGTCTCCAAATTCAGGAGAAAAACGTAAGCAATTCTCAGATTTGCTCCCTCTTGTCTTGTTTTTTTTAGGCACACACACACGTAATTTAAATCTGTACCTAAAACTCAAAAACGGGCCAGAGACCTGGTTTTGAATGTCCTTTCCAGGAAAGGTTGAAGCCGTCTGGCAAGCGCACCAACAGTAGGAAACCCACGAAGGATGTAGATTTTATGGTGTGCGGCCTGCGCTGTTGTTTTCTCCAGTTTTCAATAAACGTGTTTGCTATGTAAAGTGCGGTCGAAATGAAAAGGGGCAGCGGTTTTGCATTCTGTGGAGGGGAGGACAAAGCAGAGCAATTTCCGGTTTGCTTTTGTGTGAACGTGGGCACGTAGGTGTTGTGTGGAAGGGAAGAAGGAAGGAGAAGTAGGGAGGCAAAAGAGGGAGATGAGGAAAAGGAGGAAAGGAGGAGAGATGGGAGGGAGGATGGATGGAAAAGCGAAAGGGAGGGAAGGAAAAGAAGATGGAAAGAAAGAAGGAAGGAAGGAAAAGAGGGAAAGAAGGGAAAAAGGAGATAGGTAGACGGGAAAAAACAGGGAACGTGACCTTTCCTTCTGTTGGCCTTTCTCCTTTCTCCCTCATCTTCCTTTTGAGAATTCGTGCACGCATCTATCTACACAGTTGTCCTGGCTAGTATGGAAGGGGTTGGCTGAAGCTGTAGGATTTCCAAGTGGCCTCCCAACCCGATCTTAAATGGCTCTAACCCCCGCTCATTAAACTTCCCAGGACACCAAACCTTGAATCGTGGCTTATAAATCACGGCTTAAAGGGTGCCTCAATAACCCTCTCATCTTTTTAAAAGTCCTATTAAAGAAAACGCCGCACAAAGAGAAACCTAGCTAGCTCGCTGCGAAGCATTTGCCTTGAGCGTCTCCAGTGTTACCCGGAAGCCAAATAACCCGGGAAATGGCAACCATTTTGTGAGTGCGCTCACCAGTTGCCAGCAAAACTCACACACACACACCCCCGACCCTGATCTCTGAGGAGGATAAAAGCACTTCGCGGACCCCTGTGAAACAAACGCAGGCCGAAAGGAATTGTGGGTTAACACTTCTGCAATTCATATGGACTTGTTTTTATTAAGCTTCAGTATACACAACTTATAACACAAACAAGGACATATATCTGGCGTCATCCCAGCAACCACCTTTTTGTGCGCTGTGAACAGAGACAACGCCGAATTACAAAGAGGTATCAAGAGGACCAGAGTATGGGAAGCAGAATTTCAGTTCTCGGTAGTTTTTAAGGCAGTTGTTTTTCAAACTGGGCCATTTTAAGGCGCCTGGACTTCAACGCCCAGGATTCCTGTCAGCCATGTTGGCTGGGAGTTGAAGTGCAGGCGCCTTAAAATGGCCCCGTTTGAGAAACACCAGTTTTAAGGAATGCAGAAATTAAAACTGCAAACACCGAAAAACGAAACATGCTTCAAAAATGATTTGTTCCCCATGTGGCAGTAGATTTTCTTCCAATATTCTCTCTCTCTTCTGAAGATTTTTTGGGGGGCCTGGATGAAGCAATACTTTTAATTTTCCCACCTTTTTGTGAGTTTCCGCCTCAGGGTTCACCCCACGTTAAGCGTCGGGAGGATTTGAAACCGAGAGAGAAAATTGGGACAATTCAAATTAAAACTACACGTTCTTGCTTTCAACACCCATGCTTTGGTAGATATATATATATATATTTAGTACCCTGCTTTGGAGTGAAACACCGTCTTTTCTTTCAAGCGGATCGAAAATTTCCCCTTTAAAAAAAAAAAAAAAAACCTGCTCGATGCAGAAAAAAAAAGTGATCCTGCGTAGCGCGGAATCCCACAGGAAACGAGTGCCGTTGTGTGGAATTTCACAGCGTGAGAAGTGGTTCTTTGCGCAACTTTTTTTTATTTTGGCTACGGAAAGAGTTCTCTAAACACCAGGCACACACACACAACTGGCCACGACAATTCGTAAGGTGTGCTGACTCGCCGGAACAGGGGAAGAATGAGTTTCAACGCAAAAGAGATTTACAAGCCGCCCAAAACTGAAATTACGGGGAGAAAAAAAATTAGCGACTCTCAACGATTATCCCTTGAAATCATGGGAAATAATTAGCCACCCCGCATGAAGGAAACCTAGGTTACATGTCGACACGGGAAGGGGAAAAGTCATGCGTGAAAACGTAACAATGATCTCATCCGAGACATACCGAAAGGAATGGATTGCGATTTTCCGGGATGGTGGTGAACGGCTTTCTATGGCTGCCTCTTGTTGCGAGGGATCGGTGAGATTTTCGGCGAGCCGGGACTAAAAAATAAAAAAATTGACTGCCGTTGTTTCACTCTCCCCTATACTCTTCTGGGGTGGGGGCGACGGTGACTGCCGCTTTTTTTTTCAGAATCCGATCTTCCCTCTGGTCATGGAATAACCCAGTTTGGCTTCGTTGTTGATGAAAGACATGAGCCCCACGTAGGTTTCGATCAGGAGGGGTCGCTCAAGGAGCAGGACGCCGTTGGCCCGGCCCGGGAGAGGACACTCCCTGTGGGCTTTCTTGACAGCCTGGACTAGCTGGGTTTGGAAGTTGTCCAGCTGCAGAAGGAAAGGAAAGGAAAAAAAATCCCAGCTGGGTTTTTACGTGTGCGCCCAATATAAGCCCTACCCCCACAATAAGCCCTACTTAAGATCCCACCCACTCCAGAGTGGACAGGTGTAAAAATTAAGCCAGGGTGGGGAATGGAGGAGGCAGAGCTACCCTACTACTTATCTTTGGGCAGGTGTAGCCAGGTCTCGCACACCCCGACACCTGCCTGGCCGGCCCATTTCTTCTGCAGCCGGCAAGGCAAGGCCTCTGGAGCTGAGAACAAAGCTCAGGATCGATCCTATCGGCTGCAGAGGCCTTCAGGAAAGCCTTGCCGGCCGCAGAAGAAGTTCCTGAAGGCCTCGGGACAGCCGAAAGGCGGCCAGGGACGACGTGCGCAAGTGAGGTTTGTCAGTGGATGACATCCCCCCCCAAAATAAGACCTGGTGCCTTTTTTCTGGTAGGGGAAAAAAAATTATAAGGCAGGGTCTTATTTTCAGGGAAACATGGTAAATTTCTTAAAGAAACCAAGACTGTATAACATCTGAACCTGACAGAGAGACGCAATCTTCTCGTCGGCGTCAGCCATGGGGTGTTGGGTGAAGGTGGCGTACGGCACGTTGCTGGACCACGGGTTCCACCGGTTGATGAACGAAGCCCGGCTCTGTTTGTCCCACTGGATGCGAATCCCGACGCCTTCCCTCCTGGAGGACGGAGAGAAGCGGGCCGTTGCTTGGGCGACCGTTTCAGGCCGACCGTGAGTGATTTGTCGGGGAAAGGGTTTAATTTCTAATTCATTACTAAAAACGAGGGTTTCCTGCTCGAGCAGGGGGTTGGACTAGAAGGCCTCCCGGGCCCCTTCTGACTCCGTTCGAACGTACTTGTTGAGCGACTTGGGAGGAAATTCAAACTGGCCCGTGGAAATGGTATCGACGGCATTGAGTGAGATCCTGGTCACTTGCAGGCACTGAAGGCTGATAAAGTCGTATTTACAGATCAGGAGGGAGCGGTCGGTAATCAGAACGAGGCGCTCCTTTTCGTTGTTCCAGTGGTCGATTCTGGGGAGGCAAAGCAAAGGCGCCAGCGTGGCTAAACATCTGGGTAAATGTGGGGTGGGATTTTTTTGTTTTTAATGCTTATCTGCAAAGGAGGCCTTGGGGCCCTGTGACTTACTCGGTCAGCAGCCAGACGCTCTGAACCTCCCCGTCCTCCACGGGCATCACAACCACCCGGATCTCATTGACCGCCTGTTCAATGGTGCCCGGCTGAGTGGGGAGAGAGGAGGGTTAGCCATCTTTAACCGCTCACTTCACAAAGACTTAAGGCAGGTGGACTTCAACTCCCAGAATTCCCCAGCCGGGGAGTGAGTTTCCTTTTCTTCCTTTACTGTGTTTTTCTTTCTTTCTGTCTCTTTTTCTCTTTCCTTCTTTCCTTTTTCTGTCTTTCCTTCCTTCCTTCCTTCCTTTCTTTTGTTACTTTCCTCCCTTTTCTGTCTTTCTCTTTCCTTCCTTTTCTTTCCTTTTTGTCTTTCCTTCCTTCCTGTCTTTCTTTCCTTCTTTTTGTCTCTTTTTCTTTCTTTCCTTTTCTTTCTGTCTTTCTTTTTTCTGTCTCTTTCCTTTCCTTTCTCCTTCCTTCCTTTTTTCTCTCTTCCTTTCCTTCCTCTTTCCATCCTTTCCTTCCTCCCTTTCTCTCCTTTTCCTTCCTTCCTCCCTCCCTCCCTCTTGTGTAATCTTCATAAGAGATGCAAACACTCCGTATATACATTTCTTTTACCATTCAGATGATACTGTAAAGCACTATGGAGCAGTATATAAATGCTATTGCTATGACACCATATTTCTATGGTACTTACATACATACAAACATTCAAACATACACGCACCCACAAACATACATTCTATACCCTTGGGTTTAGATCTCCAGGAATCCTGTCTTGCGAGACAGGTGTCCATATAAATGCAATTCCATATAGACAGACAGCTATATAGACATATATGAGAGTCAAGAGTATAGATATTATGGATATGATATAATTATATTGAGTATTATAGTTATATATAGTTTACATTAATATATTAGAAAAATGTGCAATATTAAAATATATTAAATATACTACAGACATAACTAACTTTTGTGAGATACGCATATAAAAACAGTTTAGAGACTATAAGAGAGAAGTATATTTAATATATATATATATAATATATATTATATATATATATTTATATTACATAGATTTTGTGAAATAGGTGCGTATATACTAGATATATGCAATTATTAACATATATTAAATATGCATAATATGCATAGATATGATTACATAGGCTTTACATGCACTTTATGCAGGGAGATATTTAAATTTCCCGCTTTATCCCGGCCGCCCTCCCCCCCCGTAGAGCCTCCAGAGGCCGAGGCAGTCTCCCGGGGGGGGCGTGACCTCCCCCCCTCCTTTCGACCCCCTCCGCGCATGCGCGCCTCGCACCCACCCGGAAGACGAAGTACTCCTTCAGGCGGCCCCCCCGGGTGGGGTTGCGGACGATGAGCGGGCGCAGCGTCTGCCGGGCCGCTGCCAGCGAGGCCTCCAGGTCTCCCGGCGGCGTGAAGGGCACGTCGGCCTCGGCCGCTGGCACCAGCAGAGCCGGCCCGGCACCCTCCTCCGAGTCCCGCAGCTGCAGCATCGCCGGCGGCCGGCCGCGGCCTCCCTTTCCCTCTCGCTCTGCTTCTGCCCCTTGTCCCGGTCCGAGTGGTGCCTTTCTGCGCAGGCGCCGAGCCGTAACCGACGCCCGCGGGGGCGGAGCCAGTTCCCGCGGAGGAGTGTCTCTCATAGACTCACGAGAGAGTTAGAGGCGACCGCCTATGCGGAGGGCGACGCACTAGCGGGTTCAGTGTGCGGGCGCCGAGCCTCCCGCTATTTTCCCCTGGACCGTTTTTGGCGGGGAGAGCAGCGCGTGCGAAAGGCGCACCTGTTGTATTTATAAGTTGCCTTCACGGAAAAGGCTGCATGTTGCATTTATACAAGGGTGCAAGTTGCATTCATGGAGAGGGTGAAAGTGAAAACTGATCAAGGAGAGATTCAATCTCGAAAATAAGGAGAAATTTTCTGACAGTGAGAACAATCCACCCATGGAATTGAAGTTGTGGGGAGCTTCATCATCCCTGGAGGCTTTCAAGAAGAGACTGGACTGCCATCTGTCAGGAATGGTGTGGGGTCTCCACCTTGGGCAGGGGGTGGACTAGATGACCTACAAGGTCCCTTGCAATTCTGTTACAAGTTGCATTCATGGAAGAGGGCAGGTTGCATTTATGCAAAGTGTGCAAATAAACGTGTGGGAGGGAAACGATGAACAGTGAAGGATGGACGACAAATAAGGGGCAACCAAAGAAAGAAAGGGAAGGAAGGAAGGAAGGAAATACTAGATGGAAAAAAAGGAGGGAGGAAAAATGAAAAAGAAGGAAGAGATGGATGAAGGATATAGTAGTAGGCAGAAAAGAAGGAAGGGAAAGAAAAATGATGGATAGAAGGATATTGTAGATGGAAGATGAAAAAAAGGAAGGAGAAGGGTGGATAGATAGGATATTTTGGAAAGAAGGAAGAAAGAAAAAAGGAAAGGATGGATGGATGGAAGGGAAGGAAGGAGGGAGAGAAAGGAAAGAAAGAAAGAAAGAAAGAAAGAAAGAAAGAAAGAAAGAAAGAA